TACATGGCTCTAGCGACAAAGACCAATACATTTCCAATTGTACTACAAGTAAATGAATGAAACTCAAAATGTACTGTGAAAATAAATAAAGGAAACCCTATTTAAAATGGAGCCAGGAGGCCTTAAAAGGGAGTTCTCATGCATGTGCCATTCCTTAGAGTTTTTATAGTCAACAGAAAGAAGAAAGATAAGAATTACCTTGAGAAAGGAGGACATTTTTCACATAGGGATTTTTTATCTCCTGCCTTTGAGGAAAAGAAAGAAGACCCTTCCTTGCCTCAGCAACAATGCACTAACCATAACTTATAGTCAAGGAGAAACTGCTACAGCCTCAAACTCTTGCTCTTTTTCCAAATAAATTTTGTTTAAAACAACCCTCTCCAATTTCCTCCTAAAACCTAATAAAAGCTGACTTTCCCTTTGCCTATTTGGACTTGCTGATGGTTCACCATATTTTGCTTGTCTTGAATTGCAATTTTTTGCTATTCCCTAATACACTCATTCTACTAGTAATATAACTGGCTGCTTTATTTTTAAGGTTGACATCATGAATCAATCTACAGTCAGAAGATACCAGAGGTAGTGAAGGTGGTAACTTGAGTTGAAAGCAAATAGCATTTTAGAAAAGAAGAGGCTAATGCATTTTTGATAAATAATAGCAGGTCATAGAATGCCCTTAAGAATAGAAAGTATGGAATAGCAGGAAGAAAGTGGGTGAAGGCCTCAAGATCTGCAGATGGATGCTGTGTAATATCAACCTGGGAAGTTTCTGTGAACTTAAAATAAGTAAAAATTCAAATATCTGTATGAGGGAGAAACGTGTATGCAGTGAAATTTCCACTTCATCAGGGTGCAGAATTAGGCTGCTGGGAAACCATAGGTTCATCACTGAAGGATTTCACCACCATGCCTGCCAAGGCTTGGAGTCCTTTCCAAGCAATAAAATTATAGGTGTGAAATATATTTGAGCTATTTTCTCCAAAACATATCACAGAAAAATCACAAGAGGATGCAAAAGATGACTTTCTCCCATTGAAATGGCTAAAACAAAAGTGTTAAAAATAAATTCATAGTTAAAAATATCCAAGGAATGGTAGGGCAACAGGCTATCATTACTCAGAATCTGGCCTGCAATTAAAAACTTCCAGAATGTTGCAAATTGCCTACTTCTTCACCGATTTCACATTGTACCCCCACTAATGCTACTTGCAGAAGGCAAGGCATTCCAGAGAAGTTTCCTTACAGCACTGAGATCCTCACATTGTGAGGGTGCACTTGCTGCAATACTTTCAACATTCTGGGTTCTTGCAGGGTCTACATTCATTAGTTTTGACAGAATCACTAGGGAAATTGTCTGAATGTGTTGACATGAACTACCTCTCCATTGCTGAGAATTGTCAGGTGCATTACTACTGTTTTTATTGAATTTAAAAAGGAAACATTTTTCATTAACAGTCTTTACAGTAACTGCAAATAATTTCAAACAAGATAGAATTTTTGCACTTTAAACTCTACATATCCAGCAGTGGATTGTTGACTATGCAGAGCCTGGTTTTCTGGTTTGGCTTTTAGAGGCCACTTTTGTGTGGATCCCTTTCTACTGGCTTATATAGTAGATTCAGGAGAAAAGATGGTAATTCAAATCTAAGAAGATGTAGATTTCTTAAGAATAAGATATAAAAATGTGTCTTTTAAGGTTTTCTTGCAGGTAGTAGTTAATCAGTTATGTTAAAAGACTAAGTTCAAAGGAGTAAAGTTGAAGATATGACAGGCTTTATCAAAGGATTAATGAATTGGGCAGCATCTCCTCCAGCAAGTAAAGAGACTCTTCTAGGAGTTGTACAAAATGGATGCCTTTTATCGGAAGGGGGATGAGGCAAAAAAATATATATACTGGCAAAAGAAAGGGAAGGATTGTTTCAGGCCAGGTCATCTTCCTTTGGAGGAGGAAGAGATCAGCAGGTATTTTGTCACACAAGTGTCCTCACTAGTACCGATTAAAATTTTTCATATTAACTGTTAAAAGATCACATTCCTAGGATCGATTGAAACTGTAATTAGGTCTTGGTTTCTGTCTTGGAGGGCAAATAACCCCAATTGGGGCTTTTCATTTTTTGCTTTGTTTTGTTTTGTTTAACAGTATCTCTTGGGTGAATAAAATCATATCACTTGATTAGTGTGCTAGGACTTTAAAGGAAAATGTTCAAGAGTAAAAACGTCAAGGTATCTATTGAATATGATTTTAAGTGAGTAAAAGCTGCATACCTAAAAAGCCAGGTTTCTTCTGCAAAGCATTTACCTTGCAGACTCATCCCTTCTTCCACATATATTGGCAGAACCGAGATGCTCCAAAACTGCAGCAACTTCACTGTGCAACTCCACACAAAGGGTCTCTAAAAGCCAAACCAGAATGAATTCTCTGTTCCTTTTTCTGACACAGCTGAGAGAGCTGTTCAGGTCGCAGGGCTGGAGACACAGGTGCTTGAGGCCCATTTCCCAAAGAGCGTGTAGCTGCCACCAGCCAAGTACTTGCATTGCTCTGTGCACTCTGCAGTGGAGTTGCAGCTCCACTGCTGGCTGACTTTTCTCTGTGATTGAATTAACACAAGTCCTGGAGTCTGGTGACCTGCTGTGAGTGCTGAGACCATCAGTCTGCATGACAAATCTCATTTGCCACATGAACCTGAAGATACCTGTCAGGAGGGTCTGGTGAGAGAATTCCAAGTAAAGTGATGGGTATCAGAACCACTGAGTCTGAAGGCTGGTCTTTTTTTTTTTTTTCTTTTAACTTCTGGAAAAATATACACAACATACAATTTACTATCTTAACCATTTATGGGCTCAGTCACTTAGGTACATTCACATTGTTGTGTAATCATCACCGCTACCCATCTCTAGAACTTTTCATCTTCTCCAACTCTGCATTCATTAAGCACTTTCTCCCATCCTCCCAGCCCCTGGCAACTACCATTCTACTTTCTGTCTCTAAGAATTTGATGTCTCTGCTTCCCTCATGTAAGTGAAATCATACAATATTTGTCCTTTTGTATCTGGCTTGTTTTATTTAGCATAATGTATTCAAGGTTCATCTGTGCTGTACCATGTGTCAAAATTGCCTTCTTTTTTTTTAAGTGTATTTATTTATTTTGAGAGAAAGCATGTGAGCACAAGTAGGGGAAGGGTAGAGAGATGAGAGAAAATACCAAGCAGCCTCCATGTTGTTAGCGTAGAGCCTAATGCAAAGCTTAAACTTAAGAACCTGAGATCTGACCTAAGCCGAAATAAAAAAGTTGGATGCTCAACTGACTGAGCCACCCGGGTGCCTCCAAACTGCCCTCTTTTTAAAAGACTAGGTGCACCTGAATGGCTCAGTTAGTCAGGTCATGATCTCATGGTTTGTGAGTTTGAGCCCTGGGTGGAGCTCTGTGCTGACAGCTCAGAGCCTGGAGCCTGCTTTGAATTCTGTCTCTCCCTCTCTCTCTGCCCCTCCTCCACTTGTGCTCTTTCTCTCAAAAATAAATAAACATTAAAAAAATGAAAAAAATTTAAAAGACCGAATCATATTCCATTGTATGGGTATAGCACATTTTAAAAATCTATTGGTTCATTGATGGACATTTGGGTTGTTTCCACCTTTTGGCTATTGTGAATAATGCTGCTATGGAGTAAATATACAGATATCTGTGCAAGTCCTTGCTTTCACTTCTTTTGAAATTGCCAGATCATGTGAAAACTCTGTGTTTAATTTTTTGAGGAAGTGCCATACTGCTTTCTATAGTGGCAGCACCATTTTACATTTCTACAAACAATGCATTGAGGGTTCCAATTTCTACATACTCACAATACTAATTCTCTGCTGTTGTTTTATTATGGCCATCGTAATGAGTATAAGGTAGTATCTCATTATAGTTTTGAGTAGTAATTTTGAACATCTTTTTATATGTTTTTTGGCCACTCATATATCTTCTGTAGAGAACTATCTATTCATGTCTGGTACTTTTTATGTCAAACAATTATATGTTATCATTAGAAAGTTTCTCCAATGAGGAAAAAAGAACATGAATTTTTAGTTAGAATTAAACTGAGGTACAGAGTGACACTTATGCTCAGGACTATAGGCAAGTTTAAAAATTCCTTTTTGCATATCACCTGTTCAATGAGGATTCTAAAGCAGGTGGTCCTTGGTTTGGGAAAACTTTATATGCCCAGACCACCGTTAAAACCTTTGTAATGCTAGTAAGTATGCACTTCAGGGTTAATGCCAGAGTCAGTGTACACACAAAAAAGATACCCAGCCAAATTTAAGAAGGAAAACAAATGAGCAAAGGGAGAGAGAGAGAAATAAACTAAGAAACAGATTTTTAACTATAGAGAACAACAAACTGATGGTTATCGGAGGGGAGGTAGGTAAGGAGGTGGGTGAAATAGGAGATGGAGATTAAAGAGTACACTTATCATGATGGAGATAAAATAAAATGATGAAAAATATTCATAATACATATACCTGATAAAGGACTTATATCCTTGTATCCAAAATACATAAATAATTTCTATAATTCAATAATAAGAAAAACAACATGAAAAACGGGGGAAAAGTATGCCTAAAAAGATGCAAATGTGTTCAGAGTCAAATATTTTAGAAGGAACTAGATGGAAATATCTCTGGCCCAACATTTGTCATTTGTTTCCTGATTTTGGAGACATGGGAGAACATCCAGCTGGCAAAGAGAAGATTTTCAGCAGTGATGTTGATTTTGAATGGAGGTTGAACATAAGAGATACACCAGAAAGAGAGACATTATTTTAAGTCCAATTTCACCAGATTTGTTATAATAAGCTCCAGTGAGTACAGTGTAGGTGGAGTCCCTGGCCCCCACAAAATGATGGTGTTATATATTTTGAATATTTGGCCATAAAGCTTTTATACATCTTTGCAAAATATATGTTTCTGCCTTATTTTTAAATCATTTTTTTGTAATCAATTCTGTTATTTTTATAAGGATGAAATTGATTTCTGGCACAAGACCTCTAATGTATACTCTTATACCCATCTAAGATGAAATCTACCTTAAAATGTCCTGACTCTCAGCTCTCTCTGGGAACAAATCAAATTGTCTGGTGAGTAGCCTGTGCCTGCCTCAGGAGTCACTATAAGAATTAAGTGAGATGAACATAAAAATGTTGAACCAGAGGATTCACTGTGACAGCTCAGATTTGGACAGCCCTTGCTGTGTGTCACAGATGTGATGGGCAATGCCATCCTGAGTCATGCAGTATAAAAGCCTATTTTACTTTTTATCCTTTATGTCCACTTAAAATTCTCTTACATTAAAACACTTCAGAGTATAATTGCATAATTATGCATATATACAATTGTTTAACTGGCCTACTTAGTAATAATTTGCTAAAATATACTTCACAGTGTCAGGAGAATGGTATTTGGGGAAGTTTTATTTTATTATTTTTTAAATTTTATATTATTTTAGTTTATTTCTTTTGTATCAAATACTTTTTAATTTTTTAAATGTTTTATTTATTTCTGAGAAAGAGAGAGAGACAGCACAAGCAGGAAAGGGTCAGAAAGAGGGACACATGGAATTTGAAACAGGCTCCAGGCTCTGAGCTAGCTGTCAACCTAGAGCCCGATGCGGGGCTCGAACCCACAAGCCATGAGATCATGACCCGAACTGAAGTCGGATGCTTAACCAACTGAGCCACCCAAGGGCCCCTCAAATACTTTTAACTATAGTGTTTATGCCCCCTCTTTCTCTTCATGAAGAATTCCACATTATATACAATGAAGTATATGTCATTAGCAGAGTGAGGTATTTGGGACAGCATTTTATGCCATCAGGAGAGAGAGATAGTTTCAACTGAGGAGACTAGGCACTGTACATGAACCACCATAGGAGCTGTTGGGATTTGTGCCTCAGTAATGTAGGCACTGCCTCTCCCTTTACTGCTGTGTGTGGGCTACCATCTGTAATAGGGATGTTTTCCATATTTTGGAGAAAGCTCTCAGAGTTGATGTAGCTACTGTAGCTGTGCATTACTCCCTGTCTGACTGGCCAGGTAAAGGAATCCCATGGAGGAGAACCATGGTTTTAATTTCCAAATCACCACCTCAACTCTCTTTTCCTAAAAGAAATCATATTTTCATGAAATTACTGCCTGCAGTAGTGAATGAGCCCCATGTGTTCATGTGGAAGGAACTTTTGAGATGGCACAAATTCTGCCTCACTGGGCATAGCCTTAAGGACTCAGGGCACTGGAAACTGCTTTTGCTATATGCAGGCTTGGTGCCAAATGCTTCATGCACATTGTTTCATTTATTCCTTGCTCACCATCCTGCTTGAATTGGCTCTCTGAGCACGTATCCTACAGAAGATGGAAAGCTAGGTCTTACTTTTGCAGATAGTGTCCTGACTGATTTGTTATTTTACTCACATTTGTAGACATATTAGGAAGGCAGACTGGTATGGGTGCTGTCCTTCTGGCTGAACTGTTACTTTGGTTATCACGAGTGGGTATTAAGAGGCAGGGTTGGGAGTGTCCATCTGGGTTCTGTTTTACTTTTGTGGACTAGCAGATATAACATGGCTGTGTCACAGTGCAGTGGTTTCCCATTCCTCTAACACAGTGAACACTGTGCTTCCCAAAGTAACAGCTCTACTAAGGGGCCAGCTCCACAGTTCTGGGCTTAAGTCTAGAGACCAAGTCTAGAGCCAATCACTCTGGCTTTGTGAACACTTATGAATATCAAATTCAAAGTATTGCTTCATTAGTTGGTTAAAATATTTTTCCCTGAAGCTGAACTGACTGATAAAGATAGAATTTATTATTTTGATTTATAAAGGAAGTAATTGGGGCTCGCTAATGTTAAGAATAAATAGTGAGTGTCAAAAATTGGATTTAAATCTAGACCTGTCATGTCTACAGATAACACATTTACACTATACCTTTATGTTGCTTCCAAGGCAAGTCTGAGTCAATAGATATTTAAAAAGCACAACTTGGAAATCTTCTCCTTCACCAACACATAGGGTATTGGATAAAGTTTAGCAAATATCTTTGTGTGTTTTTCTTTCAGAAAACAAAAACAGGGGTGCCTGAGTGGCTCATCTGGCTGAGCGTTAAATTTCACCTCAGGTCATCATGATCTCTCATCAGTTTGTGAGTTTGAGCCTCATGTTGCGCTCTGTGCTAGCAGTGCAGAGCCTGAAGTCTGCTTGGGATTCTCTGTCTCCCTCTCTCTCTGCCCTTTGCCCACTCACACTTTGGTTCTCTCTCTCAAAATTAATAAATATTAAAAAAATAAAAACAAAAACAAAGGAAAAATGTGAGATAATTTTATAGGACACAAAAAAGAAAAAAGAAATGCCAAGGAATGTGAGCTATGACTGCAGCTGTTTAGCCTTGGGGAAAGTTACTACTGCCCTTTGGAATTCAAGTGCTTGAGTTTTAATGTTGATACCAGGTAAGGAGATACAGTGAGCTTTTGGGCCCTAAAAAGGTGTATATTTGAAATTGAGATTCATACACCAGAAACATAGACCTATACTCTCAATGAAAATCTGTCTTAGTTTTAAGCTGTGAATGGAGAAAATGCCAGTCTTAGAATTTACAATATTCTGTCTGCAATTCACATGAATTTGTGGTTCATATTTATATTATTGGAGTAGTACAGTAATTTCCAAAGTGAGAAATTAATACAGAAAATGATTTTAGGTCACAGTTCCATGGAATTTCTGGCAGAAGAAAGTATAACCCTTATTTGGAGGGACAATTTCTCATATGATACCCATAGATAAAGCCCTGATGATGATGAACTCATAATCTATAATCATAAAACATAGGAGGAAATAATTTACCATGAGTGAAAGAAACTATGGGAGTAGACTCTCAAAAAAAAGTAATGAAACTATCAAATAAACACTGTAAACATATTTTTTTTTTGAGAGAGAGAGAGAGTGAGAGCAGAAGGGCAAGGGAGAGGGAGAGAGAGAATCCCAAGCAGGTTCAATACCTAGCATGGAGCCTGATGCTGGGATCAGTCTAACAGACTTGAGATCATGACCTAAGCTGAAATCAAGAGTTTGATGCTTAGTCAACTGAGCCACCTAGGTGTCCCTACATTATAAAAATCTTCTATAAATGATTAAAGGCATATAGACAAAATGGAGAAACCATTTAAAAGAAAAAAATACTTTTAAAAGGAAAGACAGATTTTTAAAGGAAGAGAACTTCTAGACATAAGAAATTAATACTCAGTGTATGAAACACATGTTAGACATAGTTTAAGAGAGAATTGCTGAATGAATTAGACATCTAAAGAGTATACAGCACAGAGAAAAATGATAAAAATATGAAACAGAATATGAATGACATTGGCTTAGAGTACATTTTTAACATAAATTTACTATAATTTCCAGAAAGCAAAAGCAGAAAGGATGAGGGGGGTAGACAGTGTTCGAGGAGATAGTAGTTTCAGTTTTCTCAGAAATCATTGTAGATATTGCTCCTCATATTCAGAAAGTATTAATTCTCAGGAAGTCTCATTTATAAAATAAATTACACCAAAATACTGATCACCAAAGACAAAGAAAAGAACCTAAGGCAGATTATTTCAGAAGAGAAGCAATTAGACTCAGTGCAGACTTCTCAATTTAACTATAGAGCAGAGATCAGCAAACAATAGCTGATGGCCCAGAGATTTGTTTTTGCAAATAACAGTTTTACTGGAACACAGTTATACCCATCCATTTACATATTTTTATGGCTGCTTTCATGCTTCAACAGTATAGTTGAGTTGTTGTGATGGAAACCTTATGGCCCACAAAGCCTAAATTATTTTCTATCTGAGCACTTAAGAAAAAGTTTGCTGACCCCTGGTACAGAAGATGAAAGATGGTGATCTATATATAAAATACTGAGACAAAACTGCTGACAACTAAAATTCTATACCTGTTTAACTATTTTTCAAAAGGGAAGTTCAAATAAACACATTTCAAAAAAGGAATAATGTAGAAAACTTACCTTCCTTTCATTTTGAAATGACTATTAAAGGATTTGCTTTGTGAGGGAAATGAAACCTGAACTGAAATCCTGAAATTGTGTAATGAAAAAATTACTAAGTCTGTAGGTAAATCTAAAGAAAAAAATATTTGTAAAAACAATAATAAATCACAATAAAATGATAAATATTGAAGTTATAAATAAAGATGGAACTACAATGTTAGATGACAATAACATGTAAGATTGCAAAGGAAAGTGGCTAACATAGTTAAGAATTCAGAGGTATTTTCATTGTTTGGGAGGAAGGTAGAGATAATGATTGACTTTAGACTTTGTAAAATCAACTATGCATCTTTCACTTTCAAGGGTAGTTTCTACAATAAAAATGGAATGATATATTGGAGACGCTAGACAAAGTTTAGCTATTGTGACCTGTAAATCCAAAATCTCAGTGACCTATACAAGTCATTTATTTCTTAGCCACACAAATCCTGATTCATGTTGAGCAGTTCCCTTGAGGATCTGCCTCAGCAATTCTGGTGGCTATGATTGATCATGTGCTCCTGTCAATGTAATCATATGGTTTTTACACTCTGTACCAAAAAGGAAGGCAGCACATGGGAAGCTCAGAGTCACCCTTCTACACTTTACCTGGGAAGTAATATCCATCACAAACTTACTGCAAGGGGACTCACAGTGCATATAAAATATTTGGTGAGAATTAACATCACTGTTGCAATCTGCCTTGATGGTTATCAAATACCCCTTCATTCCCAAGGAGGGTAACTCAATAGTTGTACTGATATACTACATTCAGTTCAGAAGTCAAATTTCTTGGTAAATTTCCTGTAAATTCTACTATACGAGGGCAGTTGTTGTTTAAGCAGTGATTTGACTTAAGTGCCTAGGCTGTTTGGATCCTGTGGGTCCTCTCACTCAGCACACATTGTCAAACTCACACTTAGAGTAGAAAACTCTTATTCACCAGGACGAGTCACCTGGACTGGCTTAACCACAAACAGGGTGGGAGACTCAGGGAAGCACCACAGAGTGGCAAAATCAAATCAATAAAAAGAGAGAAAT